CATGCTTGGGGTGAATTTGCCTTTAATTTTCTCCAAAACTATACAGTAAAATGACTTGAAAATTAATACAGTAACAGTCAGGGTGACTGTGAACAGGAATAAATTGAAAGAATGAGCAAACCTATAAAGCAAATATTTTTATGAGTGTTTGAAAATGGGTAATGGTGCAACTGCTGGAATGCACTTTGTTTTTTGGAGTGAATTTGCCATAAATTTTCTGCAAAACTATACAGTAAAAAGACTTGAAAATTAATACAGTAATATTCAGGGTGATTGTAAACAGGAACCAATTGAAAGAACGAGATAAAGCATAAAGCAAATATTTTTATGAGCGTTTGAATGTGGGTAATGGTGCAACTGCTAGAATGCGCTTTGGAGTGATGGAGTGATTTTGTCATTAATTTTTTCCAAAACTATGCAGTAAAATGACTTCAACATTTATACAGTAATAGTCAGGGTCACGGTGAACAGGAATCAATTGAAAGAATGAGCAAACCTATAAAGGAAAGATTTTTATGAGTGTTTGAAAATGGGTAATGATGTAAAAGTGAAAGGATGCACTCAGATGCTTGGGGTGAATTTGGCTTTAATTTTCTCCAATACCATAGAGTAAAAAGACTTCAAAATTAATACAGTAATAGTCAGGGTGACTGTGAACAGGAATCAATTGGAAGAACGAGCAAACCTATAAAGAAAATATTTTTTGAGTGTTTGAAAATGGGACATGGTGTAAAAGTGCTTATGCACCCAGATGCTTGGGGTGAATTTGGCTTTAATTTTCTCCAAAACCATACAGTAAAAATATTTGAAAATTAATACAGTAATAGTCAGCGTCACTGTGAACAGGACTCAATTGAAAGAATGAGCAAACCTATAAAGGAAATATTTTTATGAGTGTTTGAAATGGCACGTGATGCAAAAGTGCTTATGCATTTAGATGCTTGGGGTGAATTTGCCTTTCATTTTTCTACAAAACCATAGAGTCAAATGACTTGAAAATTAATACAGTACTGGTCAGGGACACTGTGAACAGGAATCAATTGAAATAATGAGCAAACCTATAAAGGAAAGATTTTTATGAGTGTTCGAAAATGGGACATGGTGTAAAAGTACTTATGCACTTAGATGCTTGGGGTGAATTTGCCTTTAATTTTCTCCAAAACTATACAGTAAAATGACTTGAAAATGTATACAGTAATAGTCAGGGTGACTGTGAACTTGAATCAATTGGAAGAATGAGCAAACCTATTAAGGAAAGCTTTTTATGAGAAAGCGTGAGAATGCACATTGAGTTTTGGACTGATTTGCCTTTAATTTGTACATAAATTGTACAATAGATTTAACTTGAAAATTAATACAGCAATAGTCAGGGTCACTGTAAACAAGTATCAGTTTAAAGGTGTATACACACACACACACTGTTAATATATATATTAACATTGATAAAAACACACACACACACACACACACACACACACACACACACATATATATATATATATATATATATATATTAACATTGATAAATTATGTATATTAATAAATGTACAATTCAAATGTTAATGTACAAAAAATAATGTATTCACAAACATTAATTCAATGTTCAAGTCATTTAAAAAAAAATCCTGAAATTGTATTATTTATGTAATGATATAAAATAGCAATAAATAAATGTTCTGATGTTGCTTTATGGTCTTTTTAGGGTTAAATTACGTTTTATGCAGACATATTTTGGGTCACCGTGAACAGCAATCTATTGAAAATAGCAAAAGTATAAAGGAAACGGCGTTATGACAGCTTCTTTACATGCATTTTGACCGCTCCCAGCACCCATACCGTAAGTACGCGATTAGACGCGCAGACAAAATAAAAGTGCGGCTGGCTTGACCGTGTATTTTCAAGACGCGGCTGGCTTGACCGCAGTCTGCTCACGGGACACACACAGACACACAGCAGTGCTGGGAAGGGGACACGCGAATCACCTCTTCAGTTTATCTAGAGCGGGATATTTGCCTTCAAGAGTGGATTAAAAGGGACATTTTAGTAAAGAACTGAGGCAAGTTGTGTTTTCATTCATTTAAAAGTTGCATTTTCTTACCGGATGAAAGTCTTTTGGGTTGCCAGTATGCGGTGAACTTCCATTCGCTGCATATTCATTCATTTAGTGAAATAGTCCGAAAGAGACGCCGAGTGTAGTTATTTTAATCTGAACGGAAACTTCTGAACATTTTTTTATTTTTAGTTATTGTTGCACAAAGGAGGTGTGGGTCTAAAGTTAAACAAACAGCAGATCGCGTGCGGCTGGAAAGCATTAAGGAAACTGGATTTAACCTTTATTTAGAATGTAAACCGGCTAAATGAGCTCAATAAGTAAAAGTAGCCTATCGGAAGAAGACAATGAAGGAGAAAGGGACATGAGCCTCGATTAATAAAACGTTTCATGTTGGGTTCAATTGCCAAGCAACGTGCGCATTAACCGGAGACTTGAATGATCAGAAGTATAAAGAGCGCAACAGTGTTTGCATGGATGGTGAAGATGGCAACACACACACACACAGACAGACAGACACACAGACACACACAGACAGAGACAGACAGACAGACAGACAGGGCGGTGAGCGTCTTAATGGTCTTAAAGTTAAGTGGCAAAGACAAAGAAGCCTGCTGAGTTTGAGTTGGATCTAACAAAACCCAGTGTCCTCGGGCCACTTTTTTGCTCATTGTCCCCCACTTGTTGGTGTGTGTGCTAAAGCAAACATAACTCTTACTATTGCTCTATGATGTTGGGCTAAATTATTATTCAATCCCTAAACCTATTAATCTTGGACACGTGACACTAGTTCCGCTTAGTTTGGGATACTGCCATGAGTGATACATGATACCTCAAATCATTGCTGGGAAAGGTGTCCTGTTACTTTTCTAAGTGTTCAGATTTTATTGTTATTTTTTTTCTGGTGAATGCTAAAATTGGATAGAAAATCTCATAGACTTGCATGGAAGTGATTAGAATATCATAGGGACTTGTGGGTGGGCTGATCAGTAGGCAACCACTCGGAACACTTTCGAAGATGTATGGCAACATAACAGTTACTCAGAACATGTAGAAACCACAGCAAAAACTGGGCAACCACTTTTAAAAGTAACGCATTACAATATTGCGTTACCCCATTCAAAAGTAACTAATTGCGTTACTTAGTTACTTTTTATGGAAAGAAATGCATTGCGTTATTTTTGCATTCACGTTACTATGTTACTTTTGCGTTACAACTGTAACGGCCCTTTTACACCAAAAGTGAAATTAATAAGCCTCATCCTTGAAGGAAGTGCCTCTCCACGAGGACAGAGTGAATAAATGGGAAAACAAAGTAACTTCGTTACTTATTTGAAAAAGTAACTCAGATATTTTCTTGAAAACTTAAAAGTAATGTTACTTCATTATTTACTTGGAAAAAAAGTAATCTGACTACGTAATGCGTTACTTGTAATGCTTTACCCCCAACATTGTTGGCAACTATGCAGAATACCCTAGCAACTGTACAGCAAGCACCATGCTAAAACAAAGCTAAACACCTTAGAAACTGCATAGCAATGCCCTGAACACTCAGAACATCATAGTGGCAGTGAGCAACAGGCAGTTGCATTTTCTTCAGAAAATATAATTATCCTGTTTTCTTTATGTTCTCCTCTTGTTAAACATTGGAGCTATGTTTCAAACCTTTGGACTTAAAATGCGTAATTGTTGTGATTATGTTCGCTTTCATCTAACATGATTTGTACTAGGACACTAAAAGCTTGATTTTATTGGTTTGATTGATAAGTAGCTGTGGAAACGTCCTTATTGGACCAATTGTTAGTGCTATTTTAAGGATTGATGGGATAGATGATCAAACGGAGGGAGTCATTTATTTTTCTTCACGTAAAGCACACAAAAAGTAAAAACATATTTGTTAGTGTAAAATTAAATGGTCTTCTGTCATGTTAGATCCTCATATTGCTGCCTGTGGAATGTGAACCAAGTTTATGGTCTATGGAAACCAATCTCGCCCAACAGTCAGTGCCAGAAAACTGCTCATATTGGGTTTGGTGTAGTGTATTTAATCAGCGTAACTGGAAACCGTGGGCTTTATGTGCTGGCCGACTGTAGTCTTCTATAACTTTGTGTAATTCCCTTAACGTTGCGTAGTGAATGTTCCTAAGATGCAGCAGGTATTTCTCTAAATCAGATTTATCTGTTGTCATAAAACAAGGAGTTCACATAAAGTCTCGCTTTCTTTTCTCTAGCAGTAAACTTTGCAGAAATGACAAGTACTGTATGTAATGCACTTTCTCTGCACCTTGCTCACCTCACTTGGAGCTTATGTATTAATCCACCCACTGAACGCCTGCGATTAAAGCGCTCTTCTCTGGAAAGCTGCTTTGCAAACCACAATCAAAAGATGTGAGAGACTGAAGAGAATTGTTGACTTTTCGAGGGGGTTGGGTCTCACAGGCTTCATACAGTAGAGTCACTTTCTCTAAAGCAATGCCCCTTTTTATCGAGGTCTTTGTGTTTAGTTTTACAGATAGGGATGATGGACGTTTGGTTTTTGAGAACTCTTCACAGATGAGCACAAAGAACTCTAGCACAAAGTCCTTGTGCCCACTACAACTGGCCATGGTGTAAATAAAATTACAACATTGAACAATTCCCAAATTGAATTACTATTATGAGTCATTCTCCCTGCACTCTCAAAATGTTACAGTCAAATTCAAATATATGTGCTGATTGTAATTAAGGACCTTTAGTGAGTAGATTAATAGGCCACCATCTTTTTTTATTCAATTACATAATTTTCGACACTTCATGGGATGAGTAGTTCATTCCCTCTTAAAAGAACTTGAGTACAAGTCATGTACATTTTGTCATGTCTTATACACAATTTTCAGTTACTTAATGCTTTGAATCCTATGTTGTGATTCATGTCGGAGCTCATTGGTTCAGTTTATAACTCTTTATTGATTTGTATTTTTTTTTTTTGCAAATTTTTGTTATATTGTAGGCAAAAAAAAAAAACACGTGAAAAGAGTAGCGTGTCTAAATTCGTAGTATTTATAAAACACTAGGCGAAAAGTATCCGGATGACCTACTGTTTCCACTGAGTGTTTGAAGTGCACATCCAGTGGACAACTTACTCTCCCTTGAGGCCATGGGTGAATGGCATTGAAGCGCTGCAACTTACGCTGTAGGTCACATGACAATGACGACATACTACACAAAAATGGATTAAGGGCGTCTTAGTGCAGTGGTTCTCAACTCTGTTTCTGGGGACCCAGTGACCCACTGCTCTGCACATTTTGCATGTGTCTCTTATCTGACACATTGGCTGAGTCCAAAAGATTATGCTGCTGACTTGTTGCCTTATAATGCAATGACTTTGCAGGCTGCGTTTGCGCACAAAGGCACTTCATGCAACTGATTTCGGAGATGCTTGTGAGGCAGAGTAACAGTTTAATGAGCTACGACAAAATAGAGCGAGATTTGGTGATAACTAGGCAAATATTTAATTACTATAATTAGGCCTGTCACGATAACAACTTTTTGTTGTGCGATATATTCTTTTCTCTGTAAATTAAGGTTGCACACGATTGCTGAAAAACACAATCCCTACTTAGCAGTCAGATGTCCATATGCACAAAGGCACAGATCCCTAAACAACACCATATCTGCAGATGAAACTCTTTTTGTAGAAGCATTTTTTAAATTTGAACTAGCACCTCATTACTACACCACGTTATGTACAAGAAGCTGCAAAAGACAGGCGCAAGTGGAATGTACTAAACATGGTGACATACATTTTTAAGTAAATATAATGGGCGATATATTGCGTCACCAAAAATGATTGCGGTCATGTACATATATTGCGCGATAAGTCGATATATTGATTATTGTGACAGGCCTAACTATAATACTGATTTCTTGCTAGAAGTAACCTCAAAGGTGGGAAAAGTTGTTCAGTAACATACATTTAAACAAACTGACCACCAACTTTCAGGCACATCTTTATTTTTAGCTGAACCATCACGGAATGGATTGTGGGATATCAACGGCAGCGAAGGATAGGCCTACATCTATGCTGCCTTCAAAAATTGATCAGATGAAGGTATCTCAGGAGACAGGAAGTGAAGCTGACTGTGGATTCGGATGTACCTTGATACCTTGGAATGCATCCTCTGAAGGCATAATTTTTCAGCTTTCGGATGCAGCCACTCTGTTCAGTTCATGGAGCTTTCTCCTAAAGACATGATGATCTGAATCAGGTGCGTTAAATAAAGAAGATGTGCTACAAAATGTGCAGAGCAGCGGGCCTGGAGTTGAGAACCACTGTCTTATTGGATGGTGAAGAGCAGGACTCTTCAAATCTGGCCTCCAAGGGCACCTATGCAGGTCGAGTTTACTGATTATTTTTTTTTAAAGGATATTGGTATGTAATTTCACCATGGCATAGCTCTTCTCCTGTGTGAACAGTAGAAAAGATTGCGTTGTGTGCACAAAGTATCAAGTATTCCATGTGGAGTGTGCTTTAGTGAGGTTAGGTCCATGTTTTTTTTTTTTTTTAAACGGGATCATGTCATTGCCACTTTAAAATTAAAGTTCAACCTTAACACAACATATTGGGAAGTGTCCAGCAGCTTCTCAAGAATCAGAAGTGAGGATAAGAGCAACAGACTTGAGGTAGATCCACTGTCCCAGACATGCATCATGGGAGAAAATTGGGACATTTTCTGAAAATTTGTCTGTGCATGCAGGAGAGTGTTGAACGTATAGCCATCATACTGAGCATTGCAATCTCTCTCGTTCTATCTCGACATGTTTTTGAAAGCTCTTTATTTTCATAGGCTTATTTTGGACATGAGTGAGTTTTTATGGTGGCTTAGCAGACATTCATAATATGTTAGTTCCTTAGGCGAGACACTTGGAGTTATGAACCAGCCTGTCACACAAATCTTAGTTTTATTACTGTTATTATTATTATTATTATTTTAAATGACAATGATCCCAGAGATGTGATTCAGGGA